AAAATAAAATCCTCTTGTTATACATCGGTAGTACTAAAATATTTGTTTATATAACTAATTTCTAAAGCATTAAAACTTATCGAATTTGTATCGAAGAATGATGTATAAAATAAAAGTGTGGGAAAGCAACATCAAATTTAAATGGCTTCTCAATTATTCACTTTTTTTATATGTATGTAATACTGTCGATTGGTTTTCACTAACCAATTCAAATATGAGCTCCTTCTCATCAAGCTGCCTGAGTTCGTGCCGTGACCGTCTCTGTGGCCGGGAGGGTGTCGCATGCGGTGGCTGGTCTCCAAGGAAGGTAGGCGTGCCGTCCACTGTCGTCACCAGCGGCTTCAGCAGACCACCACGCTCAAATTCGTGAGCTGAGATCTTCCTGCCAAATTAATTACATAATTTCAAACACTGTACATATATTAATTACATGTTCATTTCAAATATAAGGAAAAGAAGACATAATGAACATTTTTATTTTTACGGTTTTAATGTTACAGTAGCTTATAGGGTCGAAACACAAAACTGCAATGCGACGTCGCATCGCAGAAATCTACGAGCTCGCATGACGCATCGCAAGAATTTGCGAATTGCTCCGCATCGCGCATTTCTGCGATGTTAATCTTCTTTGTGTTTTTTACCTATACTTTCTTATCAATAACAGCAGTGTAATACTCTTTTCACTCTTTTTACGATCCGTGTCGCTACCTAGTTTAAAAAATAAGTTTAGTGCTGTTTGCGAAGGTCGAAGGAATCGTTGCAGCATTCTGCGTGGCGAATTCGCAGTTTTGTGTTTCGACCCATAACACGACTTAGTTTCTAGACGATTTATTTGTAATTTAGTTAGTAAAACCAGCTTTCAGGTTGCCTAAGAAATTAGATAATACTTTACGTTCTGTAACAAGACTATGCAGTGATGGATTAAGATTATTTTTACGGACCTTAACCAGGAGAATGTTTTGAAAAAGATGCAACGCTATATTTAATAAAAACAGGCCGGTACACCGTAATGTATTATCATCTAGTAACAACTAAGTAAAATTCTGTGCAAAGTTTTAGTAGTTTCGTAAGTATATATTCCCCGGTTACACGAGTATATAGTCGCCAAATGAGTAATTGTAAATTAGGTACTAAACATTCAAGACCACAAACACGAATGAGACCCTTTTACCGGATCAGCATGGTGAGAGTGAAGCGAAGGCACCTCGCGATTTGGAAAGCGTACTCAGTAAGACATCCTTTATTAGAAAGTATAATAAAAAAGTAGTATTTTCCAACGTGTTTCCTATAGGTAACGGTTTTTAATTAAAAGATAACTCAGAAACACGGCCAGCAGACGATTCAATTGACTCATAATTGCCAACATAATATTATCTGAAAGTAGTCGCCAGAAAACATCTTTGTTTGAGATAAATTTTGTATTTCTGTTATACGTCTTAAGGTGATTTTCACTACGCGATCGATGATACAATACCTACATCGACATCGATGTAGGTATCGCCCGAAAGTAGTAGAAATACGACGAACTAATGATGCCAAGTCTCACACGTCGGATGACTAACTGAAATTAAAATTAATCCCGTTTAATTCATTCGTCCTAGTGCTAACTTTAATACACGTACTATTATTTAATTCTTTAAAATTATCTTTGTTATATTCAACTGAAATATCGACAACTAACCCCTGAGCCACATTCCGCTTATAACTTTGGTCATCTGGTGAACAGTAAATTTAGTTGGCGTTTCTTTACGATACATCGTGCAATTAGTAGTTTATACAATTACCCATTTTAGGAAAGTACACTCAGTCTTATGAGAGTACTTACAGAAATAAACGTAATAGCAAAACGGTGCCAAAGAGAGTAAAAAGAAACTTGCTGACCTCATTGCGGTTGTCTACAGACTGCTTTTATTTCAGCCACAAGTCGCATTGCAGTTTGCTTAAATCGTAATACCCAAACAATAGGAAACTAACACAATAGGATCAATTAGTACACTGGGCATACGCCAAGGAAATTATCTGGCTTCTATATTTCGTATGAAGAAACTTGTAACCGTAAGAGGATCCAGAGAAACTTCCGAGCTATGATAAGAGGCGTAAATCAGAAGTCCGGAAAGCAAAACAAAGTATTCAATAAAACTTTTTGGTAATTTAGAGGAAACTTTTCGATCTATCTTCAAAATAACATCAACAAGGGTCTAATGCTGTTATTGGTCTCAACTATACGTTTTCTTGACACTTTCAGACTCGTAAATTCAATTTTCTCAAACTTTTGCCACTCTAAAAAAATTTGTGGCAAGTGGCGTTGGTTATCATTTATCAAAGTAACCTTATAACGTAAGTATCGATTTTTTACTAATATCAGTTTAAGCCATCGTCCGCTAAGAGCGTTATTGACAGGGCCAAATTGGATTTGGTTATCTTTGACGTGCAATATGCAGCATGATTAAAAGGGTTATGGGGAGCTCAATATGCTACAAAGTATGGGTAGGTTTCAACGTTTTGAGTTGTTTTAGATTTCATATTTTAAGAATTCATATTTTAAATAACCTTATTTAGTTTTTGTTTATGATAAAATGTCATATTTCGTAAGTATATATTTAATACATCGAAAATTCAGAGAAGAAAGTTTGTTGATTAAGTTAGATTAAAATATTTCATGCTTCGATCTGTGTACTCAAAATTCGTGATCCGATAAGACTAGATTTTTTTAGATAAACATTAAGTAAGTATAAAAATTAATTAAGATATGCACCAAAACGTCTTTAATTCTGAGAACAATGTGCGTAGGTTTTTGAATTCTTCTACTATTTCATGAAAGACATTATCTTCCTCTCTTATCGAAGTACAGTTTCACAGTAAAATGACAAAGTTTTAGCACCAGATGGAAAACTTTTCCAGATAATTCAGAAACGGACCAGAAGTTTATTTGGGCCGATTTTTCAATAGGTACGACGTCTCAAGGATCCGCAGAAATTGTTCGATTCTTTCTCTTGTGAGAAAATCTAAAGGTGTAATAAATCTTTTAGACTCACTTCAGCCAAAATCCATCGAAATGTCTTGTTTTAAAACACTTCAGCACGTTGAAAAGGAATCCCTCATGAAATAATTTGATTTTAGTTTTAATATAAATAAAAAAAAATATATACATTATATATATATATATTATATATATTATATATATACGACACATGCTTACTCGAACACAAAATAGCACTTAAACGTATACAGCTACATATTACGAAAGGTACGAAGAAAAAACGTACATTTTTGTTTCGTATGAATTCGTAAGGAGGCAATGTTATTTGTACTGCGTTCTTTTTAAAATTTAGAAAAACCATGATTACTTGGTACCAAAACACTCTATGACAGCTAGTAAAGGTTCTTGCAAAGACTTGCCAGATGAATGAAATCTTCAGAACTTCAGTATTCCACATTCAATGGAAATTATTCTAAATTAAACGCCATTATGTAAGAAAAGAACCCATGTCAGATAAAAACCGTCTAAGGGAGTATCCAAGAGATTGATGAAGGAATGTGACACCAGCAGGTTGTGATAGGAGAAAATTTATCGGATACAATCCTTAAACAGTTCACAAATTGTTTGCGGTTTTGACTTATTTTGGAATTAGGAATTAGGAGGAGGAAAGGTAGTGACCTCTTCTACCCAACAAGGTTAAATTATTGGTTAATGTGGGATATTTTACTACACACGGAAACAAAACGATCGTCCGCAGCAGGGTACACACTAGGACATGCAATAAATTGCCATCATCTTAATTCAGTAATACGAAAATCTTCCAAGTTCCGAAATAGTTAAACATCTTACCTGACAGGTGTGGTGGCTCCGGATCCAGAACCGGCTCGCGAGGGCGAGGCAAGCTCGGCGCTAGGCGGTGTCGCGTGCGAGACGAGCCACGCGTCCACCACTTGCCGCGTCGCCTTCCTGTCCACAAGAGAGCATTAAACTTTATTAGACAGGTTCTAGTATTGTAAATCGTATCACTACATAGAACACTTATAACCTACTAAATTCCTATGTGTACCACGTTTTTTGGATAAGGAGTTTGTCCTTTTCACTACTCACTCGGTTTTAGGGTCCACTAAAAATCAGCGTCAAAGCCTTTTCTCGGCGGTGACATTAGCTGAGTGGATCTTTTTACATACGCCACGGCCGCACACATGACATCTACTTAATACACAACAGTGTTGACTATGTTTGTGGTCTTTGCAGTCCCATTACTAAGATTTTATTTTTAATTTATTTTTATTATTTATTTTGTTATTCTATTTTATTTTCGTTTTAATTTAGCCTTATCTTTTTTGTGCTGTGGCGTTTTGTAATAAATGGTTTCTATTCTATTCTATTATTTTTGCCCCACTTGGCGGCCGTGTTGGCTAAAAAAGTAAAAGTGCGTTTAGTACGCGAAGGCGCTACTGGAACTACGCTTAGTTTCTGGGGGTCCCATCTGGATACTTAAAAACACAACTCAAGACAGCAATTTTAATTAAAACCTCACGATGATTCATAATCCAGGAACTTCGAACGTCTGGCGAGTGTCACATGCCGACCCTTGGGAGTTAAGGCAGGTGTGAATAAACTCCGTGTGCAGTTGCTGGTCTGCCATCGGACGCGTCCCCAGGTGGCGGATAGGGGAACGACTCCCAGATATGGGAGTTACCGGCTTCGGCCGGCGCGGACCAAAACCAGCACTGGGAGGGGAGGAAGATAGCGCAGGTTCTGTCCGGCGCTATCTAACTCGCACCCGAGGCGGTGGGCGGTGTTCGGTCTTAAGATCGGCTCCGGCCAACCCGTAATCCCGCATGGAGCGGGACCGGGGGTCGTCCTCACTGAGAGGGGGGCCGCGAGGAAGAAAACCTCTATAAAAATTACCCCAATCCTAAGCTCTAGCGCCCGGCGATGGGATGAATGGCTGGAGGGTATCCAGCCGTTAGGGCGCCCCAGTGGGGAGCTCACCCCCTTTCAAAGCTCACACAACATGGAACAGGCACGTTTTGAAAATGGTCCCCAGGCGGGTCCCCGAAAGGGGGAATCCCGCCCATCCGCCTCGGCGGGTGGCAGCCCCTCGTACTCTGGGGGGGGCAAAAACTGCCTCGTGGGTCGGCCAGAAGTCGACCCTCGTGAACACGAACATCGCACTCGAACGGACAATGATTTTGCACACAATTTGGATCGCACGAAGGCCTCCAATGTGGAGGTGAGGATTCTCTCCGATAATGAGTCTGAGGGTGAGACGATGCTCTCGGCCTCTTCAGACGGAGAGCCCACCCTCTCTAAGGGGAATTCACGCGCGGTTTCGCGCTCCGGGTCAGCCGGAGAGAAGGGATCGTCAAGGGCCGCCAAGCGTGCCGCCCCCCCGTCGAACGAACCTCAGGAGCCCGAAAGGGCACCAAAGATCAGCACGGCCCGTAGGGGCAGGCCCAGGGTCCCCGGGAAGACCCACCCCGGTCCGGCGGCGGCAGGGAGAGGCCGTTCCAGCTCAGCAGAGTGGAACGCCCTCCAGAAAGAGACGGATGCCGCATTCTTCAAGGAGGCTCTTAAGCGCCCAGGAAAGGCTGGGGAGGCTGAACCCGAAGGTACGGCGGGCATCATGAGCGAGGTCCAGGCCCAGGAGGCGCGAGACGGCCTCGCGACAATATTGGCGGAGACCGCCAAGTCCTCTAATCTCAAGGGGACGGTGATCAAAGCAATTAAAGAGGCCGTCAAAAAGGTGGAGAGAGCCATTGACTCTCTCCATCTTGGAGAGACGGCGACGGAGGCGGCGCGGCGGATGTCGGAGGACAACCGCCAGATGAGGAGGCAGCTCGCTGCCCTAGAGGCGGAGTTCAAGGCCCTGAGGGGGGCCTACTCCACCGCCACGGCCAAGGCCAAGGCGCAGGTGGCCCCACCGCCGTCCAGCTCCGCGGTGATGCACGCGGGTGTGAGGGAGGCCATCGATGACCTCAGGCGGGACATTTTCTCCTCCATGAGAAATATGATGGACGCCCGCTTGGGGGACATCGAAAGACGCCTCCCCGCGGAGTCCCTAAGGCCTCCCCTAGGCGGCCGAAGTAGTGCGCCCGCCTCCGAGGCGACGCCTGCTGCCACCGCCATCGCCGCAGCCGCCCCGAGGTTGCTTCCCTCCGCCGCGGCCCCCGAGTCGACACCGGGCCTCTCCCCGGCCCGAAACGCGCCTACTGACCCGCGGCCCAACAAAAAGGCCAAGAGGAAGGCTCCCCCGCCGAAGGCTACTGCTGCCCCTCCTGCGGCGCCACTCGCTGTTCCCGCCGTCCGTGCCGGCCCTGACATGGCGGCCTCCATGCCGACTGACCACGCAGAAACGCCCTGGTCACAGGTAGTCGGCCGCAAGGCCAGGAAGGCCAAAACGGCAGCTGCCGCCATCCAAGCGGCACGGGCCCCCGCCAAGGCGGCCCCCAAGACGGCTCCCAGACCCAGGGCTCTCGCCACCCCGAAATCATCGGCGGTGGTGATCACACTGAGGCCCGAAGCGGTGGCGGAAAAAGGGGTCACTTACAAGGGGGTCCTAGAGGCGGCGACCGCTGCGGTCGATTTGGGCAGCCTCGGCATCCCGCACGTGCGGGTGCGGAACACCCAGACGGGTGCCCGCATAGTCGAGGTGCCCGGGGCGACCAGCGCAGAGAAGGCCGACACCCTGGCGGCCAAGCTAGAGGAGGTGATAGGGGGGTTGGCGGCAGTAACGCGGCCTACCAAAACCGCCGATCTAAGGGTCACCGGCTTTGACGAGTCGGTGACCCCGGAGAAGATCCGGGCGGTGGTGGCTGCAAAGGGCCAATGCCCCCAGTCCGCCGTGAGCGTGGGAGCCGTCAGGCTGGCCCCCAACGGGAGGGGGTCAGCCCTCGTCCGCTGCCCGGTGACGGCGGCCCAACGGGTGGCGGCTGCCGGCTGCCTGTTGGTGGGGTGGTCCTCCGCCGGGGTCCATGTGATGGAGCCCCTCCCCATGCGCTGCTTCAGGTGCATGGGGATTGGCCACACCAGAGCCCTCTGCCCGTCTAGTGTGGACAGGAGCGGGCTCTGCTTCAGGTGTGGCCAGGTGGGACACTCGGCCTCCGGGTGCACGGCGACCGCGCGGTGTTCGGTCTGCACCGCGGCCCGCCGTCCAGCGGACCACGTAATGGGGGGGCGATCTTGCGCTCCCCCCCCCCACCAAGGGCAAGCCGGCGGGGACCTCAGGCCCCCTCCCTATTGAGGGACAAAGTATGGAGCAGTGATGCCAGCACGCCACCATACTATACTGCAGGGCAACCTCAACCACTGCGCCAGGGCACAGGACTTATTGGTCCAGGCCATGGCGGAGTGGGGGGTTGCGGTGGCTGCTGTGGCGGAGCCATACTTTGTCCCCCCTCGGGGGAACTGGGCGGGGGATCGGGAGGAGACGGTGGCCATAGTGGCGTCGACTGCCGGGAACTCCCCCCCTCTAGCGGTGAAGGAACGCGGATCAGGGTTCGTGGCGGCAAGGTGGGGAGAAGTCATCCTAATTGGGGTGTACTTCTCTCCTAATCGCTCCCTGGCCCAATTCCAGGCTTTCCTGGAGACCCTAGAGAGGGCGGTGAGGAGGGCAGCTCCGGCGCCGGTGTTGGTGATGGGGGACCTCAACGCCAAGAGCGCTGCGTGGGGTTCCCCGGTCACCAATGCCAGGGGGCCAGAGTTGGAGGATTGGGCGGCAGCCTTAGGGCTGGTCGTCCTCAACCGGGGTCATGCCAGCACGTGCGTGCGGCGAAATGGGGGGTCAATCGTGGACGTCACGTTCGCGACCCCCTCACTAGCCGCGCGAGTATCCGGCTGGCAGGTCCTGGAGGACGAGGAGACCCTCTCCGACCACAAATACATACGGATGAGGGTCTCCCACATGCCGCTCACGACGGCCTCCAATACGGCCCCCGGGGGGGGCTTTCCCAAATGGGCACTCACCCGCCTGGACCTTGAGCTCGCAGAGGAAGCAGCCATGGTCCAGGCGTGGTGCCCCCCCCCACCGGCCACCGTCGACGTGGAGCAGAGGGCGGTCAAGTTCAGGGAAGACTTGACCGCCGTCTGCGAGAGGGCCATGCCCAGGGTCAGAGGGACCCCGGGCAAAAAGAGGGTGTACTGGTGGACCGCGGAGATTGGGGACCTCCGCACCGCCAGTACAGCAGCCCAGCGGGCCTACGGCCGATGCCGTCGCAGGCGCCATACCCGGAGTGAGGAGAGAAGGCTCCACAGCGCCCTTCAGGGCGCGAGACAGGCCCTGAAGGTCGCAATAGGGCGGGCCAAGGACTCTGCGAAAGAGGAGTTCTTGGCCACCCTGGACGCGGACCCATGGGGGAGGCCGTACAAAGTTGTGCGCAACAAAATGTACGGCGCATCTCCCATGGAGTCACTGGAGCTCGATCTCCTCAACCGGGTGGTGGAGGGCCTCTTTCCCGAACCGCAGCCCTTCACCCCACCGACCATGGTGCCCCCTAGAGCAGACGGGAGGCAGACTGAGGAACCCCCCCCGGAAATTACTGAGGGGGAGTTGGAGTGGGCGGTGGGACGGCTGCGGGGGCGGAAGAAAGCCCCCGGCCCGGACGGGGTACCGGGACGAGTCCTTCGCATTGCCCTGAAGCATCTCGGAACCCGCCTCAAGCATCTCATGGATGACTGCTTGAGGACGGGGTTGTTCCCGAGATGCTGGAAGGAGGGAAGGCTCGTCCTGGTGCCCAAGCCGGGCCGACCTGCGGACTCCCCCTCGGGGTTCAGGCCCCTCGTCCTGCTGGACGAGGTGGCGAAGATCCTGGAGCGAATCATCGCCTCCAGGATCAACGAACACCTGAGGGGGACAGGCCCCGATGTGTCGGAGCGGCAGTTCGGGTTCAGGGCTGGACTCTCCACCCTGGACGCCCTGGAGTCGCTGCGACACATCGTGGAGGAGGGTAACGGCGAGGGGGAAGGCGTGGTGGCTGTGTCGTTGGACATAGCCAACGCCTTCGGCACTCTCCCCTTCGCCGTTATCAGGGAGGCGCTGAGGTACCATAACATCCCCAGGTACCTCAGCCGTCTAGTGGAGCACTACCTGGAAGACAGGGTGGTGCTCTACCAGACGAGGGAAGGGAGGCGCGCCGAGCGCCCAATGAGGTGCGGAGTACCCCAGGGGTCCGTATTAGGACCACTACTGTGGCACCTGGGGTACGATTGGGTGCTGAGGGGCGCACTGCTCCCCCGGACGGCGGTCATCGCGTACGCCGATGACACGCTGGTGGCCGTCCGGGGGACCACCTTCCAGGAGGCGGCCCGAAGAGCCTCAGTAGCGGCGGACATGGTGGTCCGCCGAATACAACTGCTGGGGCTCGAGGTCGCCGTGCCGAAGACGGATGTGGCCGTCTTCGGCGGGAGGGGTAGAGGTTGGGCGGTGCCGGCAGGCGCCCACATCTCCATCGCGGGAGTATCGGTCCCGGTCAAGTCCCAGATGAAATATCTGGGACTTGTCCTGGACCGGCGATGGAACTTCGGGGAGCATTTCCGGCAACTCGCTCCCCGAATAGTGGGCGCCGCATCGGCGATGGGCCGTCTCCTGCCCAACCTCGGGAGGCCGGGAGCCTCGTGCAGGAGGCTATACGCCGGGGTGACCCGGAGTATGGCCTTGTACGGGGCTCCCATCTGGAGTGGGGCCTTATCAGCGGCGACGAAGTCGCTGCTGAGGAGGCCCCAGCGGGTGGTCGCCCTGCGAATGTGCAGGGCGTACATGACGGTGGCCTGCGCTGCCGCATGCGTCCTCGCCGGTACTCCGCCGTGGGACCTCGAAGCCGAGGTCCTGGCGGAGGTCCACGCCTACCGGCGGGGAATGAGGGACCGAGGCGAGCGCCCTGCTCCCCAAGAGGTCGAGCGGGAGCGCCGCCTCGCGGCGCAGCGCATGCGGGACCGGTGGAAAGAGGGCTTGGCGGATCCCCCCTATGGCGCTCGTACCATAGAGGCGATCCGCCCTGTCCTCATAGAGTGGGTAAACCGGTCCCACGGGCCACTGTCGTTCCACCTTGTGCAGGTGCTGACCGGGCACGGCTGCTTCGGTCACTACCTGCACAAGGTGGCGAGGAGGGAACCGTCCCCGTCGTGCCACGAGTGCGGCGCTGCGGATGACACCGCGCAGCACACCCTAGAGGTGTGTAGCCGGTGGGATGAGTAGCGCCGCACTCTGACGGGGACTGTAGGGCAGGACCTCTCGCTGCCGAGCGTGGTTGCCGCCATGCTCGAAAGCGAGGAGTCCTGGGAGGCGGTGGCCTCCTTTTGCGCAGAGGTTATGTCGCAAAAGGAGGCCGCGGAGCGGGTGCGCGAAGACGCGGCGGACGCGCACCCGCTCCGGCGCAGACGTACGGGGAGAAGGCGAAGGCAGTTCGCTGCTCGCCTGATCCCCTAGTGAGACCAGCGGGCTCTGGACAGGGACTCC